CAAACCGGGACTTTTCTCAACCATGTGTTGAGTTCTTCATCCTTCCTCTCGCCTGAGAAGGCAAGAGGCGGTTTCATTGGGGTCTTGGGGTACCATTGACCTTGCTGCTGTCCCTGTTGAGGAACAAATTGTTGTGGTGGTGTAGCTCCCACCGCTGGACCCGAAGAAGAAGATGCAACAGTCTGTGCGACTGCTGCAGACGTACCACTTGGTTGTGTACCAGCTTGAACTGGAAAGGGGCCTGATATCGCCGATAATGGCAACGACGATTGTGCTGGTGGCCTGAATCCTGGCCTTGTCAATGCATCAAGGATCTGGTCTAGAGTGCTTTGCATGAAGTCTAATCTGCTGTCCACGTGCGCATTGAGCGACAACATATTCTTCTTCAGTACTTTCAGCGGGTCAGTCAATGCTGACTCATCCAAACCCTCTAATTCAGCTTTGTCAGCCTCTAAATTATCAAGCCTGGTTGCTCTATTTTTTATTTCTCTCTCTCTCTATTGGTTGCCTTTTTCAGGTCCTCCTCTAACTTCTGGCGGAGCCTCTCGACCTGTTGGATCTCCCCGAGCTCCCTCTCACGTGGGGTCAACGGGCTGAACTGTGAGCCCGCCATTTGACTAGAAGACTGTCTAGAACCTGTTGAACCGGAAGTGCCCGTGGAACTTGTGGAACTTGTTGGCATTCCCAAATGAGTCCCATTAGGCCCTGACGAAGACGCAGACGATGACGCAGCAGAGCTTGCGGTGTTAGCCATCGCTGCTACTCTGGCTGCTGTTGCCTGCTCTCTAGCTGCTGCGTTTGCTGCTGCTATCCCCGCTGCTAGTGCACGGGCTCTACGTAGACGTCTTTCTTCTCCCTGTTCTAAGGCCTGGAACACGTGCGGTACCCTTAATGCCCCTGCACGTGTTAGTCTCCTAGTGTCAGCTCTATCATCAACAGGGTCTGACCCACTCATTAGTTAGGCAGATAGTATCTGCACTAGAATCCCCTAGTAGAATCCTACCACAGCATGTATCTGACCGGCACCTAATTTTCTAAAATGGTTGTGTCCGGCAAGTCCCCTACTGTACCGAGTGCTGCGTGTGGGCGGCCTCCCTTCAGCCTGCGACTGGGCCCCAGGGGCTGAAACCAGCCCGATACAGTTGGGCCCCGGGGCAATTCAGTTGCGCCTCTTTCATCAAGGCCTGCACCCAGATTCAGATAGTGGGCTGATTTCCCTTTGGCATTTTCGGCCTCTATACCCAGCATGCATTGTCGGCCTCACGTTCAAGTGCCCAGGGCCTAACTAACTCAGAGGCCCTGGGTTTTCAGCATTTGCTGAAATCCGAGACTCGGTGCACTCCAACCAACTGGCGTGCTGCAACTGTATGGACCCCACTTCGTGAAATGTTGGCACAGAGGGCTCTTGTTGATTTGCTGGCCCGCCTTCACTTAGGGCGGGCACGAGGCTTTCTGGGGCCTTAGCCCAGAACATGTCCATCATGGCAAGGCCCCCTTCTTGAGGGCTCAATCCTCACACATCCTATTGATGGAAGTACCATGAGGCCAGCTGCGAGGTTGGAGACTTACCTGCTCTCTCTCTCTCTCTCTCTCTCTCTCTCTCTCTCTCTCTCTCTCTCT